TAAATTTTTGCCGATATTCAAGAGTAAACAAACGACCTCACACGTCTAATACACGTCAGCTGGTGGGTCTAATATACATTCACAAATATGGTGATGATATTTATACAATTATTAGAGTATTGCATAACAGTAAATCTTCTGTTTTTTGGTGTGAATAAAAATTCATTATGTGAATAAAAAATAAAAATGGAATTTATTTGTAAAGCCTCAAAACGTAACTAATGAACAGAGAAAATGTTAGTTTAGTTCCAGGAATACCTACATTGTTTATTCTGGACCCTATTTTGAAATTGGAATATTTTGAACTTCGTGTTAAATTAGCCATATTAACAATTTCCGATCACTTTAATTTGTAGTTGAAACAGTTGACTTGGCGATTTCTTGTGTTCAATCGATAGAACAGAAGTAATGCTTGTGAAATAGCTAAGAATTTGGTTGACTGGAATAATGTAATTGGCCTAAAATGGGAGTCAAAGTCGGCAAAATCGCTGATTCGTAAATATCGCTGACACATCAAAATTCACGAGAGCATAATTTCGTCAATTTTCCATCAAATTTCGTACTTTTTGTTTTATTACCTTCACAAAAAGATTCTCTACCATTTCATAAGAAAAAATAACAAATTTTTTTTTTTAAATTCTTGGACACTGGAGCACCACTTCAGATTTGGGCCTTGGACCCTGAAGGGGTTAATCTTAAGTTAGTTTTAAGTTTGCCTAAAATACTCTGCATACAAAGGGGTTTTTAGCATGTACACCCAACTATTATATTCCTTTGTACAACCATGTATAATGTCAAAACGGTGGGGATCCTCTCCAAGATACGATACTATGTACTGCAAACTGCCCTTCTCACACTATACCATTCACTTATATATCCATACCTCACCTATGCTATCTGTGCTTGGGGTTCAACTGCAGCAACACACCTAAAGCCAATAATAACCCAACAAAAAGCCACAGTAAGAATAATCACTAAATCCCATCCCTGGCAACACCCCCCTCCCACTCTTCATAGATCTAAACTTACTCCCTGTTCAGAACATCCACACTTACTACTGAGCAATCTATGTCTACAGGACCTTAAATTCCAATATTAACCTTGACCTAAAACACTTTCTTGATAGTTGTGACAGGATCCACAGGCATAACACCAGACACAAACATCTCTATGACATTCCTCGTGTTCGACTAAATCTACAAAAATTCAATGTATTTCAAAGGACCTAAAATCTGGAACACCCTACCTGAAAACTCCAGAACTGCAGACACATTCATCACTTTCAAAACTACAGTTAGAAAACATCTTATCTCCCTGATCCACCCCGACAACTAACTACATGATAACCATCTGGTGGTTCAAAATCACACTCACTCACCCACTGACTATAACCCAGAAATACTAATCTTAATCTTAAAATAATAAATCCTAACTAGTCATAAGTTTGCCTATGATACTCAAATATAGACACCTTGTATTGTGCCAAAACAAAAGCATTCACATTGCTAAACTCACAAATTATGATGTAGTCACTTAGCCTTAATACTAAAATCTGTAAGGATTTAATGTTAAGAATTAATCTAAGTCTGCTCGAAATGCCTAGCCATGCTAGGTGTCCTAGTGGCCCCCTCTGTAATTAGTATTTTATAACATGTAAACCACAAAATACCCAAAACCTGTAAACCCAACATTGTAACCATTATAGAGAATAAACTTGAATTGAATTGAATTGAATTGAACTATTAACCCTTTGACTGTCGAAAGGCCCAATCCTGAAGTGTCTCTTAGTGTTGCAAAATATTTGAAAAAAAAAAAAACTATTTTTTCTTATGAAAATGTTAAGATTATTTTTCTGATTGTTTTAGTCCAAAAAAAAAAATAATTTTCCCATCAGTACTTACCCAGATATAGAGGCATGAAGTTTGCAGAAAATGAGCCATGTATGGCAACAGCGGCGACTGCCGCTCACCAGGTAAACTTTGGTTTACTTGTATTTGAAGGTTTGTTGTTTTTTTCACTATTTTATTTTTTCACATAACTTATGTGGCCTGTGAGACCAAAGTAAGGTGCAATGTACATATATACACTCGTTGTATACAACACAATAAGCACACAAACATAATTATCAATATATTGTTTACAAAACTTGTTTACAAAAACAAATAATACAAAAAATTGTTTATTACTATTCTTCTATAATACACCTACCATCCGACTTACGACCTGCTCGACTTACGACGACTCGACTTACGACCGTGTTTTTTATGCCAAATTTCTGGGAAATAAACAAGTGTTTGTGTTGTACACAGTGTTTTTCCTAAACCTTACAGTATAAAATACAGTACTAACAGCATAAAAAGTAAAGTAAAACATGAAATACCAATATAAGACAATAAAATAAAGTCATTTCAAAAATGTTATGTTGATATTCAGTAGTAAAGTTCGACTTACGACCATTTCGACTTACGACTGGTTTCTCGGAACTGAACTCGGTCGTAAATCGGATGGTAGGTGTATATATACCAATATACAGTCACTGGACATATTCTTAGAAGTTCTGCAGCTTGTGTAACTCTTTGAAACATGGTGTCATACACAATGGTGTTTTTACACTCCTCACACATAAAACCAGTGTGTGTGCATTTTTGTGGAAGTTATTTTTTTATGTGCAAAGACAAAATACCTCGTCTGAGCAGTTTTCTTCAAAGTATTAGCAGGCAGTTGTGTTATGTAGTTATCCTAGGTAAATGGTCGTGTGTCATCAATCCTTCCTGCATTCCTTTCCTACCTGCATTCCTTTCCTACCTTCCTTCCTACATTCCTTCGTCTTTCCTTACTTTTTTCCTTCCTTTGATCTCGTCCTTCCTTCATTCCTGCATTCCATTCTTCCTTCTGGTTTCTGTAATATATATACACATATATAGTCACTAGATACTTTCATATAACTGCTATTATCTTCAGCAAGCTTGTCTTGTGTGCGAGTGTGTGGCTTATGATTGTTTTGAGTCAGGAGTTGGCAGCTGTCAAAATGACATATCGTCTCATTACTCACTCCCCCTACCGCCTGTCAAAACAGTGGGGTCGGATGCTGCTTCCCCTCCATTCTATCTAATTATCTTTCTCCCTCATTCTATCTCTTTCAATCTGTCTCTCTCTTTCTCTCTGTCTATCGCTGTCTCACAGGTACACATAAATACAAGTATACATAGTGTAAACTACCTAGGATAATCCAAAAAATCCAGACAAAGTGCTATACTCTGCTTGAAGATGTGAGTAAACGTGATGATGACACAGTCTTGTGGCTCTCTCTGAGACAGAGAGCTAGACGGATAGACAGGGAGCTTGGTAGACAGACAAATAGACAGACAGAAATGTTAGTGTACCAGCAAAAACAAAGGGAGGGCGATGGTCATCTAATCTTTTCTTATCAGCTGCACCCTCCCCCACCCTCGTTTATGCTCATTAAACGTCAGCTCTTATCAGATGTTAGCTCCCCTTATCTTGTCACTGTCATGGGGTGGACTTTTTTTCATGCTTCAAGGGAACATATTATTATTATTATTACATTTTCTTCTTCTTCTTCTTCTTCTTCTTTCTTCTTCTTCTTCTTCTTCTTCTTCTTTCTTCTTCTTCTTTTCTTCTTCTTCTTCTTCTTCTTCTTTCTTCTTCTTCTTCTTCTTCTTCTTCTTCTTCTTCTTTCTTCTTTTTCTCTTCTCCTCTTCCTCCTCTCTTCCTCCTCCTCTTCCTCTTCTCCTCTTCCTTCCTCCTCTTCCTCCTCCTCTCCTCTCTCCTCCTCCTCTCCTCCTCCTCTTCCTCTCTCCTCTCCTCTTTCCCCCTCCTCTTCCTCTCCTCCTTCCTCTTCTTCCTCCTCCTCCTCTTCTCCTCCTCCTCTCTTCTTCCTCCTCCTCCTCTTCCTCCTCCTCTTCTTCCTCCTCCTCCTCTTCTTCCTCCTCCTCCTCTTCTCCTCCTCCTTTCCTTCTCCTCCTCTCTTCTTCCTCCCTCCTCTTCTTCCTCCTCCTCCTCTTCTTCCTCCTCTCTCCTCCTCTCCTCTCTCTCTCCTCCCTTCTCCTCCTCCCTCTTCTCTCCTCCCTCTCCTCCTCCTCATTGTCTTTGATCTCAAACCCTCAAAATCATGAAATTGATCTTCACTGACACTTCCATCTGTGTTAGAGCATCACTTGGGAAGAGAAGAGTCCCAGATTTGCTGGGGAGTCACATATTTCTTACCTCTAGACATGCTGAAAAAGGACGACTGAAATGGCATTCCCACAATGCACCACTGGCTCCCCAATTTTTTTTATATGGTGCACACTGACCATGGAGACCCATTCTCTCACATGTGGGCCTACCAGCTTTCTCCTGCTTGATTTGAAGCCGCTGGAATTTATGCGTATAGATACGTCAAACATGGTATCTCCTGTGACTTATATATACAACTGCGACAGTCAAGGGGTTAAATTCATTTGTTCCTTAGGTTTTATCAGCTTATTGATCTCACTCCAAAACTTTTTTCTTATTTTCAGCAAAATCTGTTGATAAAACCTCACCCACTCTCTCCACCACCCCTTTTAAGCTCTCTTTTACTCTCGTATACTCCACCCTCTGTATATTATTTCTCCATTGCAAAAATCTCTCATATGCTAACTTTTTCTCACCACCCTCTTTACCTCTTCATTCCACCAATCACTCCTCCTACCTCCCATGCCCACCCTCCTATACCCATAAACTTCTGCTGCACACTCTAAAACTATATTCTTAGATCTGCCCCATACCTCTTTGACACACTCTTCATTATCTTTACTATCTCTAGCCCACCATCCTCCCAATAGTTGCTGAGATTTTACCCTTACTATCTTTTCCTTTAATAACTTTCACTTCTCTCTTACCCACTTATGATAATTTGTTTACCGGTATATTTGTCAAATATTAAGCATGAGTTTTTATTTTGAATCTTCATGCATACTTAAAATTAATATTGATGTGCTGTATATTGCTTGCAGGATGGAAGGAGAAAAAGATATAGCAAAGGAGGCAGTTTTGGTTCACTCTGAACCAGTACCAGAAGGAACACCTACAGTCAGAGGTATTTTACTGGTCTTTTATTAATGACAGTCACAAAGTATTATTTTGTCTACCATACTCTTTCTATGGATATTTTTGTTACGTATCTCCAGTCAGCAAATATAGGAAAGTAAAAATGATTTATGTAACATTGGTTGTGGCTATTATTACTGCATCTTAATATTGCCATTGAAAGGCAGGTGAAATTCCATATCTAGAGAATGTATAGAAAACTTTGTGTCATGAACATGCAAGATGACAGGAAAACCTTACAAACTTCTACTGTGTACTACTGTTGCCCCAAGAATCAGCAACAGAATGACCAGGGCAAAAACTAACTGTGTAATTACTTATATCTAGCTACAGTTGTAGTTACTGTTGTCTCTTAATGCACCTTCTTCAGAAGTTACCTGAAATTCACACCATTTTCAAAACTTTTCAGTGGTTGTAGCACTTGCTATCTCTTAAATTAGGGCACTGTTCAACCATTCTGCAACAAAAAAATTTCAGGTACAGTATATGAAATGTTGCATAGCAGGACAGAATAAGTGCCAAATTCAAACAATTGAGAGATATGTATGTGTGTAGGAGATTGGAGTTGTGATGTGTTATGGAGCTCTGAGCCTAACTTACAGATGCAGAAGACAATATCTACACATTCCAAGAAGCAGAGGAAATGTTAAGGAGTCAGTTCATTCACTAACCTGGATATTGGCCACAACAGCACCTCGTGTATTATATTCAAACTTATCTTGATTGTTAAATATTTATTAATTAGTTTATTAATTAGTTTTACTCCTAGATTTAGTCTGCCCAATATGTTGCACATTGCTATGGGTATTTCCATTGAGATATTAAACAGATTTTTTGGAAAATGAGCTATAATTGTTAATCCCTCATCATTATAGGTATTTTGAATTAATTTGACCTAAATTTTATATACAGAAGCACAGCGGTTTCATGTGTCTGTCATACTTTTGCAGATTTTTTTCACAGTCACACATGCCTCAGGAATATATCACCTACCAATAAAGAGATTTAACTGTGCCCTAATCCTAGTACAGTGGACCCCCGGTTCGCGATATTAATCCGTTCCTGAGAGCTCATCATAAGAGAGCTCATTATAAGAAATAATGGAAATCAAATTAATCTGTGCAAGACACCCAAAAGTATGAAAAAAAACTTTTACCACATGAAATATTAAGTTTAATGCAATAGAATAATTACAATAACAACAATAACAATAGAATAATAACAATAGAATAATTGACACTTACCTTAATGAAGATCTGGTGATGATTGATGGGATGGGAGGAGGGGAGAGTGTTGAACCTATTGTTTAGAAGGGGAATCCCCCTCCATTAGGACTTGAGGTAGCAAGTCCTTTTCTGGGATTACTTCCCTTCTTCTTTTAATGCCACTAGGACCAGCTTGAGAGTCACTGGACTTCTGTCGCACAACATATCTGTCCATAGAGGCCTGTACCTCTCGTTCCTTTAAGACTTTCCTAAAGTGGTTCACAACATTGTCAGTGTAATAGTCACCAGCATGACTTGCAATAACTGTGTTAGGGTGATTTTCATCCATGAAGGTTTTCAGTTCAACCCACTGTGCACACATTTCCTTAATTTTTGAAGTAGGCACAATGGATTCCACAACTGGCATAGGTTTCTCAGGGTTAGCCCCAAACCCTTCAAAATCTTTCTTAATTTCCATACTAATTCTCACCCTTTTTACCACAGGGTTGGCACTAGAAGCTTTCTTGGGGCCCATCGTGACTTATTTTGCAGAAACAAGCACCAAAAACAGTGATAATATGGATAATATGGAATGTACCGAATGTATCCTTAGATGCGCGCACACTGGCTGGCATGTAAACACTGGCACACACGGGGCAGTTCAGGCCACACATGGACATGTCTTGTAAGAATCGTATCGCATACCGGGTTTTATAACGGGAACCGAGGCAAATTTTTTGCGATATAATGCATCGGATACCAGATTTATCGGATACCGATAGCATCGCGAACCGGGGGTCCACTGTATAGTGTTTCATATGTTATAACAGGATGATTATAGACCTTAATAGAGTACTGTATTATATTATGTCTCCAGGTTATGACTTCAATGATGGCATCAACTACCATGAACTTTTCCAGACATATAGATATTCTGGCTTTCAAGCAACAAGCTTTGGTTGTGCAGTGGAAGAAATTAAAAAGATGGTATGTTTTTGTGTTGTATATTCTTGTGTTCTCTGTATGTATCACTATCACTGGCAGTTATACACCACCCATGTGTGAACAAAGAATGTTAATGAAACAAGAAGTGCAACAAGCCACTGTCTTTTGCTCTACTTGTTTACATCAAAAGAAGAGGGAGGAATTTTGATGCTGGTGAGGAGATTTTAAGCTGAGGAACTGAAGTCACTGTCTCTGTTCCTGAATTAAACTTGAGTACATCCCATTCCCCAGGTGCTGAATGACTTTTATTAGATTAGGGCTTTCCCATGAATTCAGTATAATAATAATATAGTACAACCCTTGTATCTGTGGGGGATACATTCCAAGGACTTGCTACGGATACTGAAACCATGGATAGTAGCAAACCCTACTATAAACCATGGATAGTAGCATACCTACTATAAAGTTTAATTGATAAATTCTGCACAATAAGTGGAGAATTATCACTTTTTCACTAATAGGAAGCACTTTACAGCTTCTTTTAAGCTTTGAAGAACTGCCATCTTCTCTACTTTGCACTTTGGGGCCATTATTATGCAAAACAGTGGATAACTGAAACTGCAGATACTGAATCAGTGGATACAGGACTCAAGTCTGGCTAACCGGTTTCCCTGAATCTCTTCACAAAATATTATCCTGCTCAAACTCCAATAGCTTGTCAGGAATCTCAGATATAAAAAGTAAAAGTAAAATTGCAGTATATGGTAGTTATACACAAAAGCCACCATTTGCACATCATGTTTGGCTTGTCATGTTTTTTTATATTAAAAAAGTTGCAGTACAAATGCATTCTTATTAAATAGTACAATTATTTTTTTTATTAACACATCGGCTATTTCCCAAAAAGGTAGGATGGCCCGAAAGAGCAAACGTTTCGCTATCATTCACTCCATCAGTGTCTTGCCAGAGGTGTGCTTTACACTACAGTTATAAAACTGCAACATTAACACCCCTCCTTCAGAGTGCAGGCACTGTACTTCCCATCTCCAGGACTCAAGTCCAGTCTGCTGGTTTCCCTGAATCCCTTCATAAATATTACCCAACAGCACGTTAAGTCCTTAAAACCATTTCTCTCCATTCGCTCGTATCTAACTCGCTCATGCATGCTTGCTGGAAGTCCAAGCACCTCACACACAAAACCTCCTTTACCCCCTCCCTCCAACCTTTCTTAGGCCAACCTCTACCTTGCCTTCCCTCCACTACAGAGTTATACACCAGAAGTCATTCTATTTTGTTCCAACCTCTCTACATGTCTGAACCACCTCAACAACCGCTCCTCAGCCCTCCGGATAATAATTGTGGTAATCCTGCACCTCCTCCTAATTTCCAAACCATGAATTCTCTGCATGAAATTCACACCACACATTGCCCTCAGACACGACATCTCCACTGTCTCCAGCCTTCTCCTTGTTGTAACATTCACCACCCATGTTTTGCATCCATATAAGAGCATTAGTATAACTACATTCTCATACATTCCCCTCTTTGCTTCCATGGACAAAGTTCTTTGTCTCCACAGACTCCTCAGTGCACCATTAACCTTTTTCCCCTCTTCAATTCTATGATTCACCTCATCTTTCATAGACCCATCTGCTGACACATCCACTCCTAAATATCTTAATACATTCACCTCCTCCATACTCTCTCCCTCCAATCTGATATCCAATCTTTCGTTACCTAATTTTTTTGTTCTCCTCATCACCTTACTCTTTCCTATATTCACTTTTAATTTTCTTCTTTTACATACCCTACCAAACTCATCCACCAACCTCTGCAACTTCTGTTCAGAATCTCCCAAAAGCACAGTGTCACCAGCAAAGAGCAACTGTGACAACTCCCACTTTGTGTTAGATTCTTTATCTTTTAATCCCACACCTCTTGCCAACACCCAAGCATTCACTTCTCTTACAACCCCATCTATAAATATATTGAACAACCATGGTGACATCGCACATCCTTGTCTAAGGCCTACTTTTACTGGGAAATAATCTCCCTCTCTCCTCACTAGCCTCGTGAAAACTTTTCACCACTTACAGTAACCTACCTCCTATTCCATATAGTATTTGCAACATTTGCCACATTGCCCCCCTATCCACCCTGTCATACGTCTTTTCCAAATCCATAAATGCCACAAAAACCTCTTTACCCTTATCTAAATGCTGTTCACCTATATGTTTCACTGTAAATACTTGCTCTACACACCCCCTAGCCTTCCTAAAGCCTCCTTGTTCATCTGCTATTCTACTCTGTTTTATTCTTAATTCTTTCATTAATAACTCTGCCATGCACTTTAGCAGGTATACTCAACAGACTGCCAATCCCTAGGTACCTTACCTTCTTCCATATATTTATTAAATAAAACCACCAACCACTCTAGAACTGTACCCCACCTCCTTTTAACATTTCTATCTTTATCCCATCAATCCCAGCTGCCTTACCCCTTTTCAGACATAAACATAAAATATTTTTAAAATGCAAGAAAAAACATCACAAATCATTATGCAGTTCTAGGTGTAGACACTTGCAGTTGTACACATCGAGACAGTGAGCAGAAGGAGAACACGTCCAGTCAGGTCCAGTTTACATATTGTACATCACTCATACGAGTGATAGTGTCCTGCAAATCTTCAGTTGCAGCTAAACTAAGCGACATTAAAAACACAAAAATACTGCCAAGCACAAGAAAACTGAAGAACCATCCAGTATACAAAAACAAACAATGGAACTCAAGGACCCCCAGTGGAAATAAGTCACTGGTCTGACTTTTTTTTTTGGGTTATCCTAGGTGGTTTACACATGTTACAATGTATGATAATTTGTGTAATTTTATTTATGTGTACTTGTAACTAATAAACTTAATAATTTGAAAGCCTAAGCAATGATGTAAGAAAAACAGAGGGAAATATTATGTCGTTGTTCATTGCTGAACATTGTTCATTATGAGTAGTTGACCATTACAGCATTGGGATTTAGCAGATCTAGAATAATTGCCTCTATACTAGCACATTTCTTAGCACTGTCTCACATAAATGTAGCACATTTTAGCTGGCTGTTGCAGCTGACTGGCAAACCTGTCAGTCACCTGCATAAGTGGTAAGTAATCACAGAATGAACCATCAGCACATATTTTTATATGTAATGCCACAGGCTTAATATAACTTTATTACTGCTATTACTGTTGGTATCTTTTTTTTTTCCCCAAATTTAGCCAGTCAGAATGGGGGGGGGGGAGCATCCTCAGTACTGGAGCACCTTGTTCGCTGTAAAATACGGTAAGTTGTTTTTAATTTACATAAATGCCTATGATAAAGTTTGATAAATTACTCACAATAAGTGGAGAATTAGCACTTTTTCACTGATGGGAAGCACATCATGACTTCTCTTAGGTTTTGAAGAACTGCCACCATCACTACTTTTGTGCTTTGGTGACATTATCAAGCAAAATTAAGGGTTATTTTTAGGCCACAGTAAATTGTGGATAATTGAAACCACAGAAACCAGAGCCATTGATATGAAGGTTCTACTATATTGATGTTTTGAAGAAAATGGAGATACGTATTTGATAAGCTTAAGAGTGGCACACACGTAACAGAGATGGCATGAGCACATGGTCTGAATGGGGCATCATTTCTTATAATTGGGAAGAACACAGTAAAGGTATGAGCTTGTGCAGCGAGTAACCCAAGTTGTGATTTGAAAAGAATGACTCATAGGTCACAACAGCTAAATAAGACAGAAACTTATCAGCAGGAAACCAAGAAAGATTTACCACTTAATTTCAGCTTGCTACTTTGTGGTAATGCATCATGTTTTTTTTTAAGTGTAAGCCCATTGTTATTAAGATTCCCTGTGCTTCAAAAAGTACAAATAAAACCACCTCACCAGTCATTTGGAAATCAAATCACTCAGCATGGATGACAAAGGAATGATTTGTTAACTAGTTTAAACATCACTTTATTCTGGAATCATGTTTTACCAGTGCAGTAAGAACTCTGTGTTTTTACCACAAAATACATCTTCAATATAACACTGGATCAAAGAGTTATTAAGACATTTTAATGCATTTATAAATGAAAAGTGATGAAGAAACTTGTTAGAGCAGTGGACACTGACTCAAGCCATGGAATGCCAGACTTCTGGCATGAATTTAAAATAACAGATGCCATCAGCATGGAACGAAGTGTCCCATTCAACATTAAATGCAGGCAGGGGAAAATTATGGCCTGGTGTGGTGAATCCTTTTATAGGTTTTCCCTCAGTTGAGAGCCAGGTGCAGGAAATTGTTCACCTGGCAAGGTGACTGCCAGGAAGAAAATGTGAATGAGCTCTTAGAAGATGATGAGGAAGTAAGAAGCCTAGAGGAAATATGGGCAGACCTCAGTACCCAGATACCAGGGAGGCAGATAACAGATGAAGATGAGGAAGAAAATCCTGAAGAACAATCACTGCCACAGTTACATGAGCAGTTCCATATTGTTGGTAAAGTTGCAAACATTTACAATGAAGATCTTCTTCTTTCAACGTACCAGCCGTATCTCACTGAGGTGGGGTGGCCCAAAAAGAAAAACGAAAGTTTCTCCTTTTAAATTTAGTAATATATACAGGGGAAGGGGTTACTGGCCCCTTGCTCCCGGCATTTTAGTCGCCTCTTACAACACGCATGGCTTACGGAGGAAGAACTCTGTTCCACTTCCCCATGGAAATAAGAGGAAATAAATAAGAACAAGAACTAGAAAGAAAATAGAAGAAAACCCAGAGGGATGTGTATATATATATGCTTGTACTTGTATGTGTAGTGTGACCTAAATGTAAGTAGAAGTACCTGGAGTTTACCTGGAGAGGGTTTCGGGGGTCAACGCCCACGCGGCCCAGTCTGAGACCAGGCCTCACAGTGGATCAGGGTCTGATCAACCAGGTTGTTACTAATGGCCGCACGCAAGCTGACGTACGAACCACAGCCACAGTTTATGAGACAGAAAAAA